GGGGGTGTAGACCCCCCCCCCCCCCCCCCGCAAAAAAAAAAAACAACCTGGGGTTCCACATCCTAGGCTCTCCTTCCTCAGACCCAGGGGTCTAGACTCCATACCTACTCCCATAAACCCAGGAATCTGGACCAATCTGGACCCCAGCCTCTCTTCCCTCAAGCTCAAGGGTCCAGACAACATCCTTCCTGTCTCAGACCCAAAGACTGGCACCCTCGCTCTCTCCCTCATACTCCAGCTCTCCTTCCTAGACCCATCCGTCCAGATGTATCCCACCCCAGGGACTTGGGAGCTGAGGTTGCTGGGGTCACAGTGGGTCACAGCATCTCTCTGTGCTCTACAACCTGCTCTGACCCTGGCCAGAGCAGGGGGCTTTACACTGCCCCCTTCCAACTGCCCACAGTGCCAGGCTTTGTTCCCAGCCTGTGGAGCAGGAAACTGAGGTTCCGAGAGCAGCATCGCCTTACACCAGGTCAGAGGGAGCCAGATCCGTGCCAGGCCTGGGTGACTCACAGCCCTGACGTCGGCACCACTCAAGTTTCCACTACTACTACAGCCGGCTATTAATAAAGACACAACACAGCTCTCCAAGGCTCTGGAAGGATCCCCAGGAAACTGGCTGTGATGGGTGCCACTGAGGAGCCTGACTGGGCTGAAGTAGAATTTCCTTTGATCTTTGTCTTTTTGTGTTCCATCAGGGAAAGCAACAAAGGCATACAAAGATTGACAAGGGGCTAGCGAGAGGGCTCAGCAGGTAAAGGGGCTTGATACCAATCCTGAAGACCTGAGTTCAATCCCCCAGAACCTGGAAGGTGAAGGGAGACTCCCACATGTGGGCCTTTGACCTCAACGAATGAGCTGTGCAATGTGTACACACACAATAAACAAACAGACAAATGCCATAAGATTAGTTAAAAACAAAATACTCCAGCAATGCCTGACATTGAGGTACAAGCCTGTAATCCCAGCACTCAGGAGGCTGAGGCAGAAGGACTGTGAGCTGGAGGCTGTCCTGAGCTAGAAAGCTCCAGGCTAGCATGGGATACAAAATAAGACCCAACACAATCAAATGAACAAGTATGGCAGGCTATGGTGGTGCAGATCGTTAATCTGGGTTGTTCCAGAGTTTGAGTCAGGAGGGTCATGCCTGAGCTACATGGAGAGTTGAAAGCCAGCCTGAACAAACTGAAACACTGTCTCAGGAGAATTTAATGAACTAATTAATTAAATTAAATAATCCAGAAAGCCAGGTATAGTGTACACACCTGTACCCACAGCACTTAAGAGGCCCAGGCAAGAGGATAATGAGTTTGAGGGCAACCTGGATAATTTAGTAACCTATCTAAAGAGAAAAGCCAAAACCAAGCCTGGTGGTGGTGGTAGTGCACGCCTTTAATCCCAGCACTTGGGAGGCAGAGGCAGGCGGATCTCTGTGAGTTCCAGGCCAGCCTGGTCTACAGAGCGAGTGCCAGGATAGCCAGGGCTATACAGAGAAATCCTGTCTCCAAAAACACAAACAGAAAAAAACAAACAACACATGCACACACACAAAAAAAATACCCCAAAAAACCAAAACCCACAAACCAATACCCCCCAAAAACCAACCCCCTCAAAGCAAAAACAAACAAAATAAAACTCTTACCCGGGCGTTGGTGGTGCACGCCTTTAATCCCAGCAACTCGGGAGGCAGAGGCAGGCTAATCTCTGTGAGTTCGAGACCAGCCTGGTCTACAAGAGCTAGTTCCAGGATAGGCTCCAAAGTCACAGAGAAACCCTGTCTCGAAAAAACAACAACAACAAAAAAGATTTTATTTATTTATTATGTATACAATATTCTGCTCCCATGTATATCTGCACACCAGAAGAGGGCAACAGATGGCTGTGAGCCACCATGTGGTTGCTGGGAATTGAACTCAGGACCTCTGGAAGAGCAGTCGGTGCTCTTAACCTCCAGCCCCAAGAAAGAAGATCTTTAAGGTGATGAGACTCAGAATTTTGTTTGTTTGTTTGTTTATTTGTTTGTTTTTCGAAACAGGGTTTCTCTGTGTCATTCTTATGCATGTAGCAAACACACACACACACACACACACACACACACACACACACACTTCTACATAAATAAATAAGTGTCCATACATGTCTTCATGTCTTTCAGGGAACTTCTAAATAGCTGTTCATTTTGCACCATTTGGTTTTTTTTTCCCTCATACGAGTATGTGTTGCCTATGCAAAAAAAAAAAAAAAAAAAAATCCAAAATATCAGAAGATGATACGATGATAATATTATGTACTTGGTGCAGGTGCTGGGCACTGTACTCCTTTTTCTTAATTTATTTTATCCAGGAGTTTGTGCAGTCCAACAAGCACTAGTGATCAGAATGATCCTTCTCAGATTACTGGCAGGGAAACTGAGGCACGGAGAGGCAGTCATTGGTCACGGACACGAAGTGCCGGTATTAGATGCCAGGCCACTCTCTGTCTCCCATCCAGAGGGCTTCCGTGGACCCACCCAGGCTTATCCATCCTCTCTGGCTTAGGGGATTTGGGGTCAGTGCTGTGGAGCCGGCCTGAAGGCATGCCAATTACAGCAGCTCTGTCAGACCAGAAAGGTCAGGCTGGAGAGGTGGCCACCTGGGCCTGCACGGAGGAGCCAGAGAGAGGGGCCCACTCAGGCTTCCAGCCTGTCACAGCCCTCCCCCAAAGCTCACTGATGATCCGGGGAGCTTTGCACCTCCCCATTTAGCAACGGCTGCTTCACGGGGGTCACCCAGAGTGACCTCGGCACACAGGTGTGGCAGGGGACAGTCCAGGCCTGGCGCTCGGGTGTACACGCATACACACACACACCACTCCCCTCTTTAAAGCTGAACTCTGAGAGCCAGGCGTTTCTCCTCCAGTCCTCCGGCCTGCCAGCCCCAAGGACTGGCTCCTCCCTTGTCCCTTTCCTGACTTTGTCGTTTCCCACTGATGTTGGGATCTCTGGTGAAGGTGTCTCCGGCCCTCAGTTTCCTTCATCCAATGTAGAGGTGCTTGCAGTTCCCATTCAGAGCATTGTTAAAGAGGCAGAAAGGGTGTTTGCTTCCAGGCCTGACAGCCCGAATTTGAGCCAGAGGACCTACACGGTGGCAGCAGAGCCCACAACTCCAGCAAGTTGTCCTCTGATCTCTCCCCCATGTGGGCCGCGTCACACAGGCACACCCCCACACTGAATAAACAAATGCAGTAAGAAACACGGTTTCTCAGATCACCCAAGCCCAGTGTGTACCCTTTCCTCTTCAAGCCTTGCCCATTCTTTCCAGAAGCAGCCCCTGGCTTGGACTACTAGGTGCCTGCTACTGTTGGCTTTAAAACGGAAAACGGTTTCGCTACATTTTGCTCCTGTGTATATCACTGCCATAGGGTGTCATGTTGCCTGTTTTTCTGTTTTGTATAAATAGCACCCTGTTTTGACCTTCTGTGACTGACTTGCTTTGACTCTCAGCAGCTCAACAAAGCATTCGTGTGAGCTGAGTTTCTTCCCTTCCAAGCGAGTCTCCTCGCAGTCTGCCATGTGACACACTGTCTCCCATGTACTCCGACTGCTGAGGGTGGGCGTGGAAGGTTCCAGTCAACCCCGTGCTCTCTTAAGCAGGGGTGGCAAGGACTCTCGGAACATGTCGCTGCCTGCTAATGTCTCCCCTCTTTATAAAAGGTGACACATTTTCACTAGCCTTGGCCTGCAAGAATTCCTGGGTCAGAGGAGGGAGAATGTGCCTTTTTCTTGGGCATTGCCACCCAGGCCTCCCATCCAGCAATAGGCTTTTTGATTATTTTTTGAGGCCACAGGCCCACCTGACAAACGGAGGGAAAGCTAAAGATTGTTGCATTCTCTTACACGGAGCTGATAACCACGGGTTCAGGATTCGACACGTGACTGATCCAAGTTGAGGACCCTGGAAAATAGACCATTGATCCATTTCCCAAGACCAAAGATCCAGCACTGAGGAGCTAGAAAGATGGTTGCGTGGTTAAGGACTTTTTTTTTTTTTTTTTTTTTTTTTTTTTTTGAGCCTATCCTGGCATTCGCTCTGGAGACCAGGTTGGCCTCAAACTCACAGAGATCCTCCAGCCTCTGCCTCCTGAGGGCTGGGATTAAAGGTGTGCGCCACCAAC